AACCAATTACCCAAAAACCCATTGAAACAATGGTTTCGGTTAACGAGCAACCTGTTGGAACGGATTGTGCTCGTTAACTGAGGGACCACTGTATTAGCAACTGTAATTGTTAACAACGATGTTATAAGAAATGTACAATACTGTACAGTACTGTAAAACCTGAAATCCTCTGGGGATGTTTTTGAAACATCAACTGTACCTGTTTGTACAAGGACTGTATGTAATGGTCATGATAAGAGCTAACCTGAAAACCTTAAGGATTCATATTACGCTCAAACGTCCACAAAACCTTCCGAGTCCCCCAGTGGAAACGTCCCCCGTTTTCTCTGTTTCCCCCGCCTTTGTCTATGGGAGCAGACGCTGTATGCTGGGACCTGTTGCCATCCATTCCTTTGTAATCAATTTAATTTTGCTTTCGATAGCTGAGTCAGAGCATTGTTAGTGAAGATAATAGTAGAGAATGAAAATGAGTTCATAGTCTCAATTTCAACGTCAGAGGGTACCGTAAATTAATTCATTGGAATAGGAGTAGCTGGACTCCCTGGTCTGGTTTGAGTGAGGGCGCCGCGGGCATTTTAACCGTTAGTAAGTGCCCGTCCCTTCATCCATACAGGTATGCCATTCCACGCTGTGTTGTAATTTGCCCTTCTTTAAGTGATTTGACTCAAGTAATAGTTGATTGTGCAAGTGTTACAGTAACGTAGTTGATATGCTCTGAGTAAAGTCATATTTACGTCTTTAACGTCCCCTGAAACGTGTTGTTGTTGTCACCGGTTAGTAAGTGCCCGTCCCTTCATCCATACAGGTCCCTAACGCAGCCTAGGCCGTGTCTGTAGGGTGGATGTTGTATCCACTATGTCTGGGGACATGTCCGAGGTCCAGTAGGATCAGTTACCTTCGTGAGACCCGGCCGTCAGACACTTCAGACCACCTATAGCCCCCATAGCTGGCTCGTCTGGCCCTAACGCTCGGTCCACGAGGTGACCCTGGACCACCAAGCCACACACCACTACCAGCCCCCATCATTGGTGGATGAGTGTCTACCTCAGTAGGGCTATATTTGTGTGGTGGAATTAACCCACTGGGATCTCCAGAGTTCGTCAGATAGTACTCCATGGTGGCTGGACCCCATGGCTGTTGCTTGAGTATCACTCCTGACGACTGAGTGTTGTAGTGGCAGTTGCCTAGTATTTATGGTGCTAAGTGACTATCATAGTTGTGCTATTGAGTATGTCCACCCAGTAGGGTTGGAAGGGTATTGAATATGTCCACCCAGTAATGGTGTGAGTGTGTTGAGCCTGAGGGCCTAGTAATAGATTTCGTCTGTTAACACAAACCAATTCTTTCTTCTAATTTCATATTCATGTTTAAATAAACTTTGTATTTGTATAATTGTGTATATCATTTACCTACAGTATTTACCGTTATTTCTTCCCTATTGCTTGATACTATCATTACACCTACCCACGAGCCTCCTATCGTCACGCTACCAATGGTGATAAATGTTTAGAGTAAAAGGAAGTGTTACTGGTACACAGGCCCTCATGAAGGGTGGCAGTAGCAGCCCTCATAAATGGTGGCAGCTCAAGCCCTCATAAATGGTGGCAGCTCAAGCCCTCATATGTACAGTACAGTATTAAGAATAATCAATTGAGATAAAAAAATCTCAAAATTAACATCATTAACACAGTACAGTATCATCCTAAAATATTATACATCTTACTTTTACTTTTATCCTCTTCACCACTGATCGGCTCGTTAGCTGCTCGGGTGGTCGGTCACGTCTCTGTTACACACTGTTGGCAAGTAATGGGCATGCACTGGCTCTTGAATATATCAGAACTTGCTCAAGTGTTGGTCAAGTCTGGCCTTGAATGAACTCGCACTCGGTACCGTCACAACGCTCTCTGGCAGATTGTTCCAAGAGTTCACAATTTTCACTCCGAAAAAATTTACCCTCACAGTTTTCTGAACTTGTGGCTTCTTCAACCTTCAGTTGTGACCCCTTGGGGGGTGGATGTCCTCCAGCTCCAGGTATGCATATTCGACCGAGTAGTGCCCCCCGAGATGTTTATACACTTCGATTAGGTCGCCCCTCGCCCGTCTGTCGTATAAGCTAGGTAGTTGCAGGCACTCCTATCTCTCTAGGTAACTGAGGTTCCATAGAGGAGGCACCAGTCTGGTGGCCCTCCTTTGGATATTTCCAGTCAACTGTCAATCGCTAGCATACCTCGGAAACCTTTTTATAAGACCTACTAATTTTGTTGCCTGATTTACCTTCTTCTCACAATGGCCTGAAATTTAAATTCATTGTCGTCATACACACTCATGTCCTTTACATGGTCAGTCTCAATTAATGCAGTCTCTTCGTCCTGTTGGGACATATGATATGCCTCCTTACTATTGGTGCGACTCAGGTGCATCCTTTTACACTTCATGACATCGAATTTTAACAGCCATTTCCTCGATTCTTGGAGCTCATAGAGATCTTTCTGGAGCTCTTCACGGTCTGTTTGGTTTTTAATTTCCCAAAATAACTTGGTATCGTCCACAAACATTTGTATGGAGGAGTGTATAGCTTCTGGCACGTCATTAATGAAACACACAAAAAACAACGGCCCCAATACAGTGCCTTGTGGTACCCCGCTAGTCACAGGTACACATGACGATTTTGTACCATTTATCACCACACGCTGTTTGCAGTCAAGCAGAAAGTGTCTGATCCGTGCTAGGACACTTCCCCGAATCCCGTACCCTTCCAGTTCAATTCTCAACCTTCCATGGGGTACACTGTCGAAAGCCTCGTCAAAATTTAGGTACATATTGTCGATATTTCCTCCTTGTTCTACAATTTGGGTCCAGACATCTAGTACCTTGAGTAATGGTGTGAAGCAGGATCTTCCTGGCATAAAACAGCGTTGGCAATTCTTTACAAGGTTGTTTCGTAGCAGATATGCCATCATGGCATCTCTCACAATGTTCTCTAGTACTGTACTTTGCACACTATGCTGGTCAGGCTCACTGGTCTATAACTATTCGTGGGGTGACGATCGCATCATGGTAATATTTAGTTGTTTTTTTTACTATGTTACAAGGCACTGTTGTTTTTTTAATGGCCTTTAGGGAACAATGTCACTCCAAAATGCTACAGCTTACTACACATTGTAATACATGTAAACATAATACTATACTCTACAACAACTGATTAACAGACATAAAGTGTTTCAAGTTGAATGTGACAAAAGCTGTAACTTGGTCAAAACAAATTAATGGTCATTCTATTTAAGATTCTTAAGGTTATTTACATATAATTTAACCATTTTTTATAACTTTCATTAGTTTTACCAATCTAAGATGTACAGTACTGTATTGTAATGAGTGAGAAAAGGAAAGATAATGGAGTCAATAAATAGTTTAGGAAATTTCTTGATCATAAAAATCTTAACAAACTGTTCGAGGTCTGCTGTTGCTCAGTAGCGTAAGGCATCTGATAAAACTAATATGTTGCAACCTTAAACAAACCTTAGACAATTATCATAACATTTCAGCAGCAACAAAGTGTTCCTAGGTGGACAAGCTCCTTCATGATCTTTTCTCTCAGTATTAAAAAATGCTTTGATGCACTAACAAGATCTATGTTTAGTTTACTCTAAAAGATTAAAACTTATAACCATACAGTACTGTACCTTGACTATAACTCTTATGTAAAGTGAAGCAGTCTTGTTGTCTCTGGTTTATGTGGCATAACAAGATGCACTTCACATAGTCTCTGTCCTGCTATAACAATTGATTACAGTATATAATTATGTGTGTGTGTGTGTGTGTGTGTGTGTGTGTGTGTGTGTGTGTGTGTGTGCACTTAAAACCTTATGAATTAGGGACACAATAAAAAATACATACTGTACTGTACCTTTCCTTCTCAATGCTGAATGTCATATGATCTTAAGGCATATAAGTAGAGCACTAATACTATATGAAATTATTGAGACACCACTATAATACTGAGCAGACGCAATGGTCCTTCCTCCCACAGAGATACAAGAGACTAAACTGTCTTAACACTGGACAACAAACACCATAACAAGGAAGAATGACCATATAAACAGCTTGTAACCTCATAAGTGGTAGAAATAATCGATTTAAAAGAATTAACAAACACACAGTATTCACAGTATGAGTGGTAAATATCATTAATCTCTCTTATTCAATTCTGTCAATCATGTCATAAGAATCTGAGTATTTTATTGCTTAAAATGTACTGTGGGCTGAGAAGAACAACTGTAGTGGGAAATAATGAAGTTGTAAGCTGAAAGTTCTTGAACTATGACAGTACCAGATCCTTACTACACCTAACCTATTTGCCTGTACATGTTTGAGGAATAGAGGAAGGGGAACTATCAACTGAAATAACTGAAGGTTTTACCACAAAAATAATTATGACTTGGTAGCCAAAGATTCTGAAACCTAACTACAATTCAATACACACTATAAGTAACAGTGAACAGAGACATGTTAAAAATATATATGACTGAGGAACTTAGGGAGATGACAAGTCCCTTTATTGCCACCATTGTTTTGCATGGTGGTGATGACGATCAGGATCACAGTGATTAAACCCATCAGTTGGTATTTTTCCAAGAGTTGTTCTTGGTGAAAAAGAAAAATGAACCCACCATTCACACACATCCTTGACATTAGAGTGTTGCCACTATATTATTTTATCAAAGGACTAAAAGTGTACAAGAGAATTACACCTAAACTAGTTCAATCATATTTTTTCCTATAATACTTTTATCAACTAGAGAATAACATGACTGGTGGAGGCATTCAAAGTTCGTTGTTTTGTTTCTTCTCGAGTTTGTTGTTTGTGATTGATCAAGGAATCTCTCTATGGCTCCCGTGAATGAAAACAAAGTACAGCATCACTGAACTATGATTCTAGCAGCGATGAAGCACTGAGAACTGACAGCACAGGAAAACTTCAGAAAAAAAAGTTCATGGGAATTTATCTTGTTTATGATAAAGCCATACAAGTATTTGGGAATTAAACTTATAAATAGAAGATAAAGATAAAAACATAAAAATATATAGAGTTGTGAGAACTTTACTTGCTATAGCACCTGCATGTTTCGTCATGTGAATGAGTGCATTTCAGTGTGCCAAGACTGCTCTAAAGTCTCTACTTGATTTTTACAAATTTGTTTCACTTCCTATCATAATAATCAAAGACCATATACACACAATCAGTTGCTATGTAAAACACAGTTAGGTTCAAATGATCAGCTACATTTACTTAGGCATTTTGGTTAAAAAAAAATTACATGTCAACATAACTGGGAATGTTTTCTTGGAAATGTTACTTTTTACAATAGTACTTGATACACCATAATGCATTGGGTGGAGGCAAAGGTTGCACACTGCCAGTGGATTTCACCATTTTTTAAGTCCATAGAACACAGGTTGTGGTAAGGTAAAAAGCCTCTTTTGCATGACTAGTAAACAAACCAATCATCAGTCAATGGTGATCTAAGCTTCTGTGATTGATCTCTTAACTGTTCATGTATTATAACATTATGTTCACTTATTACATCAATTACATTGACCATATATGTCAATAACAAGAATATTCAGTGATCTGCAGAAACCAAGGAGGCAAGAAAGCAGATGCCATACATCAATAGCACATTTTCTTCAGACATATCCAATTTCAGTGGTACAGTACGTGGTTTCATTATAGTCTTGTCAACACAAAATGAGAAACAGCACACTTTTAGGATGAACCTTTCTTTTTCTTATTTCGTCTGCTTGAGCACACAGGACAACAAACACAATTTACACTATCATGTTCACCTCCATTGCAGTCCCACACACAGTCAGAAATAGTAACTTTAATCTGCTTGCCTTTGGTGACAATGACTTTGGACTAGAATACTGAATCTAGTCTTCATAATTACTCTTATTTGGTTGTTAATAAAAAACTTTCACTCGCGGTCTCACAGTTTTCCAAATGCTCAAGCAGTGGCATGAATCAGGTTCTTGTTAAACATACTTTCCACACCTCATCTCCTACATAAGTTATGACTAGAACATATTAGCATCATCGTATGTTAAGTACAAATGGAGGGACGTTATAAGATGTAGGTATCATCAAATATGCATGTCCCTACGCTTGGGCACCCGGAAGCTCATATGCAAGGAATTACCACGCATAAAGGGGGCAAGTGCTGATCTGTCGATATTGCTGCGCCTAGGTAATGTAAGGTCACAATGTAGAACATCTTCCGCTTCATCTTCCACCACACATTCATTGTCTAAGGTCTCGCGGGTGAGATCCAACCTAGATAGAGTGAGATTTGTCCTTGATCCTCGAAGATCTGTTCTTGATGCTCGAAGATCACTTTTGGAGGCCCTTAAATCTGACTTTGAAGCACGCAAGTCTGATTTTGAAACTCTTAGATCAGATCTAGAAGCTCGAAGGTCAGATTTTGATGCCCGGAGGTCCTGTCTTGATGCCCTTAAATCAGCCTTTGATGCCCTAAGATCAGATTTAGAGGCACGTATTTCAGCTTTTGAAGCCCTTAAATCTGATTTTGAAGCCCTGAGATCTGTTTTTGATGCTCTTAAATCAGTTTTAGATGCCCTCAAGTCAGACTTTGATGCGTGAAGATCATTCCGAGAGCCTCTTAAGTCAACTTTGGAACCTCTGAGATCAGTCTTGGAGCTTCTGAGTTCAGAATTTTTTGGAACTTTCTTTACAGTTAATTGTGTTATTGCCCGTGACACAGACCCATTACACAGCTTCTCCCAAGGTTTTGTAACTGAACACAGAGTAGCTGGGTCAATGTGTGTGAGAGAAGGTCTACGTCCACCCAGATCAGCATAATCATCCCAAGATACGACACTGGCAGCGTCTCCGCCATCATATGAATCCGAGTGACACAGTCTTTGATTTTCAACACGTGAATCTTCACAGTCATGACAGGAGACTCCGCTGTCTACATCCGAGTCTCTCGTAAGAACGCCTTCCTCAACCAATGGTCGCTGGGTTTCAGCAAGTGGTCTACCTATATCGTGAAATTGTTGCGTAGTTTCCTGGAGGTAACGTGGATCATCGAGAACGAGAGACGCACGCCTGGTGGCCCGCACAGGCTGATGGTGATGATGAGATCGTAATGTCTCCTCCAAATCAACACTGAGATGGTGGGCTTTGGTTCGTTGTCGTCTTACTAGCGTTGAGGTGCTACTCACTTGCATTTGCTGTCTATTTTTCTTTTGGTGTTGATGTTGTTGATGCTGAATTTGTTGTTGCTGTTCTTCAGGAATAGTACAGTGGCAGAGTGGTGGGACAACCAGGCTGCTGTAACCTTCTGTAAATGTTGGGCTGCTACTCGAGTCACTTGAATATGCTGAGTCTGCATGGTCAGTTTCAGGTAATGGATACAGGCGGTCATTAGGAGCAGGAAATGAGGACCCATAACCATGGGCATCATACACAGGGTGGTAATCTGTGGATTCTTCCTGCTCATCTTCATATGATTCTGTTATAATGGAAGGTCGCAGAGGAGATAAAGGCGTCGTCATCCAGGTGTGATTAAGACAATCATCTACAGTCATTCTGTCACTGTAATAAAAGAAATTCATTACAATTCATGGACACAATACCTAAATACACTATGGTCAAGAAATCTTTACTTGCTGAAAGTCTTCATAAAATAGTAATTGTTTATTAATTTATAAATTTCACTAATAACTTTCAAGTGTTGTTTCAAATATCTGGGAAATGATGTGTTAGTACAGTGTATATGTAATGATGAAAAGAAAGCAGGTAAAAGGTGAACCCAGAGGAAGAAATGTACAGTACTGATAGAGGTAAAGAGGAGGAGGTAGAGGAAGGTATTAAGCAGGCATTAATATATGGGTCTGAAACATGGACTCTGGATACAAGAAGGCTGCATATTAAGTAAGGCTGGGAGACATTCAGGAAGCAGCAGTTTGAGAGAATAGCTGGGAGTACTGTGCCAAGTGACTTTAGGGGAAAATGTACAGCTGATGGATAATTATGACTTGTATGAAGTGAGAAGGGTCAAGCAGATGGGTATTTGGGGCTTTGTTATGGAAAGGTAGTATCATAGCCGAACACAAAGCAAGAAGGGAGCATGTGTATGGGTGTTTTTTGCTGTTCTTGAGTTCCGCCTCTCAGCATTATAGCAGGAAGTCTTGAGAGAGTACATATAATTAGGTGATAATGAGGAAGATTTATACACCTTGGTTTTTTGACAAGAAGGCCACAGATGAATTCTTTAGCTTGTTCGGAAATGTCGGCAAATAAATCTTCGGGAAAGTCAAATTCTGCTTGGGTGATGTTGACAAAAGTTTCCTGGTCGTCGTCTCCTCCAAATGGTGTACAGCCAGTCAGGAACACGTACGTCAGAACTCCAATAGCCCTGTAAGACAAAACAATCACAGACACTGGCCTCCGTCCCTTCAACATGACCACCACCTCCAGTTGTGGCGACCATTAGGTAAATAAGTTAGGTACAATGAAACCTCAATAAAATGGACTTCACCCTCACAGACTGACCTCTCACATAATAGAGGTTTCATTGTCAATATTCTTCCTCGTGAAAACTATAAACTGTGTAAAAAATATTAAAACAAAAACTCCAATAATGGACAGGGCAGGCAAGAATTAGTCTGGTATTGGCAGGGATTACTGTACAGTACTTCAACACACTTTGAAAGTAAACTGAGTCAATGAAGAAGAAAACAAATGGCTGAAGGATATCACTCAAACTATACTTTAAAATAGTTCATGATAAAGGATCTATGTTCAGGTCATATGAATAATAATTGCTGTGTTAGTCATTAATGAGCTTTAAGAAACACATAATTTACTCACTAAGATTTATAAGTCTCTTTATATATTATCTTTAATTACAGTAGTGTACAGAACCTCAATAAGTGTACAGTATTCACTCATTATGATAGGATTTATTAGCAATGCAGTACAGGTACAGTATTTACCTGAGAGTTGACACTTACCACATATCAGTTGATAGGTTGACAGGTTCAAAGTTTATCACCTCAGGAGCTATAAAATAAAAATAAAACAAATATACAGTGTATGTGAGCTATTGTTCTCAATAAATATGACAAAAACTGGTCTTTAGTATATTAACAAAGGGCCATTATGCATACATATGCTGGCAAAAACAGTCTAACATTCCAGCTGTCATATCTATATACCAATGATGGTCTGTTTTATATCATATAATAAAGAATAACTGAACCAAAACAATAGCCATCAGAGTAATTCCACACCACTATGGTCCCATACAGTTCAGTACTCTACAGTATTTACCTAAACATATAATACATTTGTGTTTATAGAATTTCATTAATCTATGGATGAGACGGTGTGAGGCTCGCTGAGGATGCCTTAACACTTTCAGAGTCTACACAACAGAGCCTCAGTGACAGAAGTACTTAAAATTCCACCACAAGAATAATGTTGCTACTGACCTACATAGTCTGGAGTGCCCATGATCTGGGTGATTTCTGCTCCTTGAGTAATGACACGTGATAACCCGAAGTCCACCAATTTTACACCTGCATCAGGAGAGTCGCCCATCATGACCAGGTTTTGAGGCTGTGAGAAGTGAAATGTTATTAAGTACAGTATTAGTTTACAGTATTTGTTTATCTTCTTTGTTACAGGTGTTCTATTTCTCACTGTTGTCTAATACAGTACTGGGCTCTTCAATATGCCAAGAGTGAGGAATTTGAATACAGACACTCCCCAGGTTATGGACGACTCAGGTTACAGCTTCCGACTTTACGGATACTTTCCCCTAAGTCCATTTTCAGGTTGCGGATGAGTATCCATTGTTACGGACGTCAAGTAGTGTGGTGTAGTGTGGAAGAGACCCACAGAGTAGACATAAGGTGGACTCATATAAAGGAACACGTGAAGGCCCGGTTCCTTTAAAATCCACTGTGATAATGAAGCAACAATCATGTGTTATTTGTGATAAAGTCCATCTCCCACTACCAACACCCGACCTTCTCATGAACAAATCAGCATCAGGAATTAAGGTAAATGGAATTACTGTACAGTATACGTACACTAGTTTTCTATAGTACTTAACTGTATATGCAGGCTTATCTTTCCTGCCTATACTTCTATTCCTACTTTTTAATTAGTAAAAAGTATTGTATCGTGTAGGTCATAGTAATTGTATATACAGTACATTATGAGAACTGTGGGTGTTCAGTGATCACCTATGAAAGGATCACTTCCAGTTTGCGGATAATTCGGCTTACGGATAGCCTCCAGGAATGGAACCCATCCATAACCTAGGGAGTGTCTATACAGCATTAGAATTATTGTACTATTAAGTAGACTGCCTAAACGTACTGTACTGTACTGTACTGTACTGTACTAAGACCTCTGAAGATATGCAAAATGCCATTCTCTTATTCATGTACAGTACAGTAAATCATACATTCAGGAAGAACAACAAACCCAAGTCATTAAACCTAAGGAGGAAAAACTCTCTCCCGGTCACTCTGTACAGTCCACAGCTGGATCCAACCCCCTGTTATCTCAGACCCAGAAGTGAAGGAAAACACTGATCCATGGTCAAAACTCTTATACAGTATTGCACATAAATATAATGAAGTAATCTATGTAGTGTTTTTTTTTTTACTTTCATTCAGAACTTTCACCAGAAAAAGGGTCAATGTACTTCTTTCTTTTGTTAAATAATTTCTAATGATAACCCACTGTATTAAATAATAGCTCAAAACTTACTTTGATGTCGAGATGAGCGATCATGTGAGTGTGAAGGAAAGCCAGACCACGGAGAACCTGCTGTAGGAGACCTCTGACCTCGTACTCCGGGAGAGATACGGCCTCATCCAGAAGCCGCTGAAGGTCACCACCGCCAGCACTGACAAAAAAAATAATCACTCAATACTGGACGATCAGTTGGTCACACCTTTTACGGCACTTCACCACAACACAAATTCTTTAAAATAAATTATTAAATAAATTGATTTATTATATTTTGTGACACCGACAAGACCATCTTGGTGTGAGGTGCTCAGTGGGTGGACAGGAATATCTGGCTGACGACTTTTAAGGATACAGTGTTTTTGTTCCATAACAATTACAAAGTCAAATGTGTGGTGTGGTGTAGTGTAGTGTAGTGTAGTGTAGTGTAGTGTAGTGTAGTGTAGTGTGTGTGTAGTGTGTGTGTGTGTGTGTGTGTGTGTGTCAACAATATACAAACATCAATATAGACACAAACAACAACACAGCCCCAGAAAGAGATGACAGATCCAGCAATGAGGAAGGGAGAGGGGAGGGAGGAGGAGAGGGAGAGAGGGAACGCAGCATACTGTACACCAGGACCTTGGCTTTGGGACATTAGTTCACTTTAACTTCGCTCTGAAAGGTTGAGGTTGAACCCAAGATACAGTCCATACAACTACAAGGTGCATTAGATGATACAGTCTACGGTATACAAGTGCTGTAGTACATGTAAACAAATAGCCTCGGTCAAAGGTCACCACCCTAGGTCAGGCAGTGGGGGTGGGGGGGGGGGAGGAACGAGTAGTATGTCTATGAGGGTCACTACAAACTCATTTCTAAAAGGCAAGATCAGGGTTACGATACACAGCACATCCTCTAAGGTTGGGTTAGGTTATGGTGGTGTCTATGAGGTTGTGACACTGGTGGAACAAGGTCACGGTACCCTTGTAGACCTGGGGAGCTGTCTTGCTACCTGAGGGACGGAAGCTAAGGTCAAGATGAGGAGAAGGAATGTGGAGAGGAGGGGAAGGAATGTGGAGAGGAGGGGGAAGAGGAGGGGAAGGAATGTGGAGAGGAGGGGGGAGAGGGAGGGGAAGGAATGTGGGAGGAGGGGGGAAGAGGAGGGGAAGGAATGTGGGGAGGGAGGGGGAGGGGGGGAAGGAGAGGATGTGGAGGGGGAAGAGGAGGAAGGAATGTGGAAGGAGGGGGAAGAGGAGGGGAAGAATGTGGAGAGGAGGAGGGGGAAGAGGGGGAAGGAATGTGGGGAGGAGGGGAAGAGGGGAAGGAATGTGGAGAGGAGGGAAGAGGAGGGAAGGAATGTGGGGAGGGAGGAAGAAGGGGAAGGAGTGTAAGGAGGAGGAGGAGGAAGAAGAGGGGGGAAGGAGTGTGAGGAGGAGGAGGGGAAGAGGAGGGAAGGAATGTGGGAGAGGAGGAAGAAGAGGGGAAGGAGTGTAAGGAGGAGGAGGAAGAAGAGGGGAAGGAGTGTGAGGAGGAGGGGGAAGATGAGGGGAAGGAATGTGTGGAGGAGGAAGAGGAGGGGAAGGAATGTGTGGAGGAGGAAGAGGAGGGGAAGGAATGTGTGGAGGAAGAAGGGGAAGATGAGGGGGAAAAACATGAAAGAGTGTCAAAGCTGGTTGGAACAATCGAGCACAAAAAGTCTCACTCATAATATTGTTATAAACGCCTCCGCTAAGTGCTGGGGAAGTGTACACCCTCCCCCACTGCTAGCTTATACGACACTGAGTCTGTCATCATGTGTGCTCTGATATAAACCCTCACCACACACTCCCAGGGTCCAAGCAGCTGAATCTGATACTGATTTATACAAGATTTCCTTATGAGATATTATATTACCATAAACTGTATCGGAAATTGGAGTGAGGAGGTGTATGTGTGTGTACTTCCGATTACACCACACACAAACACGAAAGAAATTGTTAACGGGATAATCACCTTTATCAACACAGCTGCACTACACGGTCCAATTAAGGTCATAACATAGCAACATAGAGACAACTTAACCTAACTTAACCCAACGTTCCGGGGTAACATAGGTGGTCCCGGAACTAAAGGGAATTACAAGATCAACAATGACAAGTGTGCAATGGAATTTATTTACTTAAGAGAAACGAAGATGATGAAGCATTATAATGAAGGAGGAAGAGTGGGATGCTGGCCGTGGTGAGGAAGGAGGAAGAAGAGGGGAGGGTGAAGGAAGATGAGGAAGAGGTGAGAGGTGAGGAGGAGGAAGAGGGGAGAGTGGGGGAAGGAGAGTGGGGTGAAAAAGGAGGAATGTGAGTGAGTAATGAGGGAAGGGGAGGGTGGAGGAGGAGAAGGAGAAGAAGGAGGAGGAGGAGGAGTGAGGTGGAGAAGGAGGAGAGTGGAGGAGTGAGGTGGAGAAGGAGGGTGGAGTAGTGTGGTCGAGAAGGAGTGTGAATGAGTATTGAGGAAAGGAGAGGGGGAGGGGAGGATGAAAAAACCTCGAAAAAGAAGAAAAACAAGAACCATATCAACTCACAACTCCAGAATGATGATGTACTCTGTCCGTGTCTCATAGACGTGGTGGAGATGCACTATGTGAGGGTCGAGACGCCCCAGTACCAGGACGGCCACCTCGTGCCTCGCCTCGCCCTCTAGCGACACGTTCCGCCGACGTCGACGAACATATTTGGCAGCGAACACTTGACCTGTAGAACGATGACGGGCACGACGAACTGCAGCGAACTTGCCTCTGGAGAACAAAACAACCATATTACTAATACTTCATTATAAACCTCATAATACACACACACAAACTTGTAAATCATATAATATGCATAACCTAAAATAAACAGTAAACACATAAACAATGATATGGGGGCTTCATTTTATCGAAACAATTCATTAGCGTTGGCCAATCAAAAATTCTGCTTTGAGTCATGTGATATATGGGACGGAGTGAAGGCCATAAATACTGGTGAAAATTTGGACAACAAGTAGTGTGTGTCTTGAGGGCAGGTAGGGAGGGTCAGACCTTACGTTTAAGGTTTGTCTTACGCTATGTGTGTGTGTGTGTGTGTCATGTCTTGTGTGTGAGGTGTCGTTAAATAGCGAGATTCTTCCAGGGTATGTCTCTTTGATGACGTCATATTATTATAGCATTACTCGTATATAATTCCAATAAATTTTTTTTATATCAGGTAACTCCAGGTGTAACAGGAAGGAGGGTCGTTGTTGACCTCCAGTGAGCAGTGGCACTCTGGCACCATTCCCACTACTCCTTCATCCACACACACACACACACACACACACACACACACACACATAGATATTTCTGTACCCTCCTCTTAACCTTCAATACACAGTAATAATAAACTCATTTGGTTCAGGAATAAGAGAGCGAGGAGGAAGATGGTGACGAGGAGGGTAAACAAAGTATGACGTAGTTATGACGTATGACTGATGACGAGGAGAGTAAACAAAGTATGACGTAGTTATGACGTATGGCTCTGATGACTGACTGACTCTTTTACTTAATGCTCTTAGGTGACCCCAGTAAGTACCCATCCAACCCACCTTGCTCACCCATCTACACCTATTCACCCACCGATTATATTCACCCATTCACATTTATCACCCAGTCACCCACCTACAGATTATCCACCCACATCCATCATCCATCACCCACAAGACATCAGCCACCAGAGATTAAGCAACAGACGAGGCAGTCACCTTCCTTGCAACCCCCCAACCCGTCCCATCAGCGTGTATCATTCTGTGTCGCGGGGAGGAGCTGGGGAATGTTTCGGGGAGGTGCTGGGGAGGTGCTAGGGAGGTGCTGGGGAGGAGCTTTAATATCTCCTTGATAAAAGACCTTCACGCCTCCCCCTCTCCCTCACCACTACCCGATGGATTTTAGATGATCAAATGTTTTTCCGGAGTTAATATGTGACGCAGTAATCTGATACGTGACGGTGTATCATAACTGTTTCATTTCGGCAACGTTGTGAAGGTGGCGGCCCAAAATGGCGACGAAATTATACTGAGACTCTTCTATCCAACTCCAGCCTGGTGTGAAGAAACGAACGAGCGTAAATCTTGGAACCAGATGACCCCCCCCCCACCCACAAGACAGCTTCCGGTGTTCAGTGCTTGGCTCATGTGTGTGTGTGTGTGTGTGTGTGTGCGTGGGGGTAGATACAAGGGCTGCGTGCCACTACTGACGTGTCGTTCCAGCTCGCCCCTCCCTCCTATACTTTCCTCACCTCACCTACCGCCAGGTGTGTGTGGTAGTGACACATTAATAACAATCAACCGTGATATTTGCAGCGTAAGAAGGGGAGGCGTAGTGAGGAGAAGAAGGTAGGAGGAGGTAGGAGAAGGAGGTAGAAGGAGGATGTAGGAGGAGTTAGGAGGTAGAAGGAGGAGGTAGGAGAAGGAGGATGTGAAGGAACCCCATTGTCACGGTTGGTGAGTCTCAGCCTTGGCCGCCCACCCGCCTTTGCTATGAATTATGCATGTGTTGCTCCCTACCGCTGACGTTGCTCCTGACGCTGCTGTACTGTACTGCAGGTAATGTGTGTGTGTGTGTGTGTGTGTGTGTGTGTGTGTGTGTGTGTGTGTGTGAGAGTGTTTAAGCACCAAATAACAAGTACCATATCAGGTCCGTACCCTTTAAATAACCAACCACAAGAGTTCTGGCAATTACATAAACAAATGAACAATAACAAGAAAGATCACAAAAGTAGAATAAATAACAAGATAACAAAGGGGTAGAATCAATAGGTCAGGTAGATTATGTCTCGTGGGCCAGGTAGATTATGTCTCGTGGGCCAGGTAGATTATGTCTCGTGGGCCAGGTAGATTATGTCCGTGGGCCAGGTAGATTATGTCTCGTGGGGTCAGGTAGATTATGTCTCGTGGGCCAGGTAGATTAAGTCTTGTGGGCCAGGTAGATTATGTCTCGTGGGCCAGGTAGATTATGTCTCGTGGGCCAGGTAGATTATGTCTCGTGGGCCAGGTAGATTAAGTCTCGTGGGCCAGGGTTCAGGGCAGGCGCCGTGGGCAGGTAGATTATGTCTCGTGGGCCAGGTAGATTATGTCTCGTGGGCCAGGTAGATTATGTCTCGTGGGCCAGGTAGATTAAGTCTTAGGGCCCGGTAGATTATGTCTCGTGGGCCAGGTAGATTATGTCTCGTGGGCCAGGTAGATTATGTCTCGTGGGCCAGGTAGATTAAGTCTCGTGGGCCAGGTAGATTAGCCAGGTAGATTAAGTCTTAGAGTGGGCCAGGTAGATTATGTCTGTGGGCCAGGTAGTTATGTCCGTGGGCCAGGTAGATTATGTCTCGTGGGCCAGGTAGATTAGTTCGTGGGCCAAGTAGATTATGTCTCGTGGGCCAGGTAGAGATTAAGTCTCGTGGGCCAGGTAGATTATGTCTCGTGGGCCAGGTAGATTATGTCTCGTGGGCCAGGTAGATTATGTCTCGTGGGCCAGGTAGATTATGTCTCGTGGGCCAGGTAGATTATTTCCGGGTCCAATGAGTACAGCAAGTCTCCGTTGTAAATAAACTCACACCACACCACACCAAGGCGAGGTACTAGTAGTAATTTATAACATTACTGAGATCATTTTAAAGTGACAATGATAGAGGAATGTGCCCAGCCTTGCATACCATCAGTGAAGAACAGACTCACACAAGAGAAATATTTAAAGGAACTGGTCTTTAGAATGCCAATGGAGAAGTCAAGGTCGCTTTAACTTTCGCTAGTGGGTGGTGGTGTACAGTACAGGGATGCTGGGGTGGTGGTGATAGTGATGGTAGGAGATGATGATAATGGTAAAGGCGGTGGTAGTGGTGGTAGCATGGTGGTAGTGGTGGTAATATTAATAATGGCGGCCCTGAGGTATTGTTTACACCTGTCCTATACTTTAATTAACATCGATACCTGAGCGTCCCCCCCCCCTACCCCAGCGACCCTCACAACCAAGCTTTCTGAGATGACAACATGGCAAAAATCTTCAATTATTTATCACTACTGTCTGGCTAATCATGGAATTTATTTTTTAACAGGTGTCAAATCTATTCTCTCGTTGTTGGAGATTAATGATATTCGTATTAGGATAAACTGATGGAAGTAATTCCCGTTGAGGGTTATAATATTCACTGTTAAAATATCTAGGGATTCCGGTGTTAATAATAATATAATCGTACACACTCAAAAAAGTATCGGGACGAAGGGTTTTCTGTTGTTTATCGAGTCAAACTTTCTTACATAGAGCACACCAACACACACACACACACACACACACACACACACACACACACAACAACACACACACACACACACACACACACAACACACACACACACACACACACACACACACACACACACACACACACACACACACACACACACACACACACACACACACACACACACACACACACACACACACACACACACACACACACACACACACACACACACACACACACACACACACACACACACACACACACACACACACACACACACACACACACACACACACACACACACACACACACACACACACACACACACACACACACACACACACACACACACACACACACACACACACACACACACACACACACACACACACACACACACACACACACACACACACACACACACACACACACACTGTAATAAAGACAATGGCTGGACTACTCATATAACGTTACAAATTATATCCACTAAAAAAACAAAACAAAATAACACTTTATTGTCTACTCTTCTTTAATCATCTTTATTTTTTGTAATGAATTTAAAAAAAATTTACAATTGAACGAATCTATTTTTTCTCCCCATTGTCGACAAAGTGGTCAACTTTTTGTACACCTGAGCGATACAGTTCAGAGTAATATTAACAGAATCAAAGTGATGACCTCAGCATTACGCTTGTCACCTTCGTCACAACAACCATAAATCATTATTTTCTTCCTCTGAATAACGTCTCTTGTATCTGGGGGTGTGTGTTAGCGATACAAGAGACTCCCTGGGTGAGAAGACATCCCAACCTCGACGAGTACATAAGAACATAAGGAGTCTGCAATAGACCGGTTGGCCTGTGCATGGCAGCTCCTGTCGAGAGTTACTACCACTCTCTATCATCCATGAATCTATCTAGCCTCCTTTTGAAACTCTCCAGCGTTCCCGCACTTACTACAAAGTTGCTAAGCTTGTTCCACTCGTCCACCACCCTATTTGTGAACCAGTTTCGTCCTATCTCCCTCCTAAACCTAAACTTATCCAACTTGAATCCGTTGCTCCGAGTCCTATCCTGCTCGGATATTATAAGAACTTCATCTATATCCCCTTTATTGATTCTTTTCACCCACTTAAATACTTCTATCATATCACCCCGCACTCTTCGTCTTTCTAAGAAATGCAAGTTTAGTTTCTTTAATCTATGTTGATATGGAAGGTTTCTAAGTCCCGGAATCGTTTTCGTCATTCTTCGCTGCACCGACTCCAGTGAATTGATATCCATTCTATAATGGCACCAGAACTAAACAGCAAAATCGAGGTGCGGCCTGACTAGCGCAAGATATAGTTGCAATATGACCTCCGCACTCTTATTACTTACACTTCTAGATATAAAACCTAAAACACTTGTTCGAATCCCAGAAACGTTGGTGAGCAGAGTGTGTTCTTACCATCCTTCCAAGGGCTTAAGAAAAGGTCTTACAGAGATACTTCG